GAAATCAGGACCCTCATCCATTGCTAGTGGGAATGCAAACTGGTTCAGCCACTGTGGAAAACAGTTTGGCAGTTTCTCAAAAAGTTAAACATAGAACTACCATATGACCCAGCAATCCCAATCCTACGTATACACCCAAAAGAACTGAAAGCAGGGATGCAAACAGAAACCTGTATACCAATGTTCATTACACCACAATTTACAATAGCTAAAAGGTGGAAACAACCTAAAGGTCCATCAACAGATGAATAAACAAAATGTGGTACACGAATACAACGGAATATTATTCAGCCATAAAAAGATATGAAGTCCTGATACATGCCACAACATGGATGATCCTTGAAAACATTTTGCTGAGTGAAAAAAGTCAGTCACAAAAGGACAAATACTGTTATTATCCCATTTATATGAAATAGAAAAATGCATAGAGACCAAAGCTTACAAGGGGTCGCCAGGGGTGGGAAGGAAGGGTAAAGGAGGAGTCATTGCTTGGGCTCTGAGTTTCTATTAATGGTGGTGGAATAATTTGGAAAAGGAACGTGGTAACAGTTGCACAACATGAACAACATAATCAGTGTCACTGAATTGTACATGTAAATAGTGGTAAACTGGCAAATGTTTGGCTATATAGTTTTACAATACACACACAAATATAGTACGCAATTTCATAAAGGTTTGCATTTGTGTCCAGACAACAAAGCAACATATGAAGGTGAAGTAATTTGTTATATTAGACTGAAAAGCCTTTGTACATTTTTGTTCACATTGTATAAGCCATCTGAGGCTGAGCTAAAAAATGTGAAAAGATGGATTCTAGTGACTTTTCAAGCTGGGAAATATCCATATGTCTGTGTCAGATAGCCATCCCACCCAGGAAAAATAAGCATCAGCAGATCTTCCAAACTGGTGTGCCTCAAAGGGGTTAGGGGCTCTTGGGGCTATCGGCATTGACTCTGGCTTTGAGGAGCCTTCAGAGTTTAACCCAGTTTGCTTTGCAAATGTTGTTACTATTTACATGTGCCAAGACATGAAATAAGGTTGGGAAGCACAGGCCTACAGAATGAAATCCATGCTGCTTCTTCTAGGATTCAAGTCCCTCCACAATCTTTTACACTTTTACATCTTTTTTACAATGTCTCCCCTGCTCTCCTTCACAGACTCACCATTTCAGTGAACTAGTGTGTTCACTGTCTCTCAAAGACCTTTTAACTCGAGCACCTGCCACTATGATTCCTCCTGCCTTAATTCTGTGCCTCCCCATATGTCTCAGTCATTAGTGCTGCTTTAACAGAAATACCACAAGTGGATGGTTTTAACAGAGAGAAATTTATTGTCTTCACAGTCCCGTAGGCTACAAGCCCAAATTCAGGGTGTCAGCTCCAGGGGAACGCTTTCTCTGTTGGCTCTGCAAGAAGGTCTGTGTCATCAGTCGTCCTTTGGTCTGGGAGTTTCTCTGCACAGGAACCTCAGGTCCAAAGGACGCGCTCTGCTCCCAGCACTGCTTTCTTGGTGGTATGAGGTTCCCAGGTGTCTCTGCTCGCTTCCCTCTTTTATATCTTAAAAGAGATTGCATTAAGACACTAATCTTGTCAACGTCATCAGTATAACCTCATCACAGTGATAGAATTTGTAACACATGAGGAGATCACATATAATCTCATCATAGTGGTAGAGTTTACAACACATAAGGAAATCACATCAGATAACACAATCATATAATACTGGGAATCATGACCTAGCCAAGGTGCTACACACATTTTTGGGGGGACACAATTCAATCCATGACACCATACATATTAAAAAAAAAAAAAAATCCCACCGAAAGTGACCTCCTACCCCAGTAAACTGCTGTATTACTTAATGAAAGATAAATAATAAACTTAAACCACTTGGCCTGCACATACTTTCATACTGCACATGTTATTTTTACATCAGCATGTCTTGTCTCTCCAATTATAACACAAGTAATCTCTCTGAAGGCCACAGACAGGAACCTTCCTCATAGCAAATAATTAATCCTCAATCTATTTATTAACATTGATACCTCCTACTGTGTTCTTATTCTCTAATGTATTCTATCTTGTTGCTCCTCTGATGCTTGGGTGTGATATAGCAGAAGGTCAAACCATTCAATTTTTTTTTTTATCCAAAATGTATTATAGTCTGCTATATGTAAAACACTGAGCTAGATGCAAGGCAAATCACAGAAGGAAATGAAAAAGATAGCGACCAATATTAATAAAACAAGGTAATGGTGAGGTCTTGGGGTCTTCTAGCCTAAAAATTTTAGGGATAAATGAGGACTGTCTTAGTTATCTAGTGCTACTATAACAGAAATACCACAAGTGGATGGCTTTAACAAAGAGAAATTTATTCTCTCACAGTCTAGGAGGCTAAAAGTCCAAATTCAGAGTGCCAGCTCCATGGAAAGATTTTCTCTGTCTATCTGCTCTGTGGGAATGTCCTTGTCATCAATCTTCACCTGGTCTAGGAGCTTCTCAGCGCAGGGACCCTGGGTCCAAAGAACACGCTGCCCTCCTGTTTCTTCATTTTTGGTTTTAGGAGGTCCCCCTGTGTCTCTGCTCACTTCTCTCTTTCATATCTCAAAAGAGACTGACTCAAGATACAACCTAATCTTGAAGATTGAGTCCTGCCTCACTAACATAACTGCCTCTAATCCTGCCTCATTAACATCATACCAAAACAAAAAACCAAATCCATTGCCGTCGAGTCGATTCCGACTCACAGCGACCGTATAGGATTGAGTAGAACTGCCCCATAGGGTTTCCAAGGAGTGACTGATGGATTCAAATTGCTGACCTTTTGGTTAGCAGCCATAGCTCTTAACCACTGCGCCACCAAGGCTCCCATTAACATCACAGAGGTAGGATTTACCACACACAGGAAAATTACATCAGATGACAAAATGGTGGACAATCACACAATACTAGGAATCATAGCCTAGTCAAGTTGACACACATTTTAGCGGGACACAATTCAATCCATAACAAGGACCTAACTAGTAAAGAAAGCTTCTGCATGGAGAAAGTATTTACACAGAGGGAGGAGACGTTTGTCATTACATCACCCTTGGAACATTTATTACACAAAGTTTTGTGGCAACAATAGGACTCGGGGAACAGGATACTTTTAATCTGACACCACCAATAAAGTCGAAGTATTTGCAAGTTTAGTCATAGAATAGGCAACCTTTGCATAATTGTCCAAGCTTATCCCTTTACTCCCCTTTTGCTGAATAAACAGGACTTAGCTGAGTAGCTCCTTTAGAGGCAAGGGTCTAGTATTTCTGGAATAGTTTGTGTCCGTGTGTGTGGGGGGGGGGGTTGTTGTTGTTGTCTGGTAGGCACTTGGCCTCCCTGATGGGAATCTGTTGAATGGTCTGGGGAACTGTGCTGGTCAAGCTTATGGTCCCTCTGTGCTCAGCATCCCCCTCTCCCATCTCCCATCCTTCACCTACCCCCCTCCCAACGCCTTCCACATATTGTCTAGGCTCCTGCTGTAGGGAGGCACACACTCTGGCAGGCTCCTACTACAGTGTGGCTTCTTGGTCTCTCAGGAACAAAAGGGTCAGCCTTAAGGTTTCTAATGCTGTTGGCCTCCTAAGGGATTTATGGGCTACACCTATGCAGGAATACTTTGGGAAGTTGATAAGCCCCCTCTAAATCTTTGGGAGGCAGCCTTTGAATTAAATGGTTTGCCGACTGATGTAAAGTATTATAGTACTGCCCCAGTGGTGCAGTGGTTAAGAGCTCAGCTGCTAACCAGTAGGTAGGCAGTTCGAATCCACCAGCTGCTCCTTGGAAACCTTATGGGGAAGTTCTACTCTGGCCTATAGGGTTGCTATGAGTCAGAATTGACTTGACCGCAGTGAGTTTTTGTAAAAAGTTAAGACCCAAGGGGCCTATGTGAAGGAAGACAGATCAGATCAAATGATTATTTATCTTGATCTCAAGGTAATTCAGAGGAACTATCAGGGCTACTATAAGTTATATACCACCAAGAGACTTGGGAGGTAACTCTAGTCTACCTGTTGTCCCTGGAGCTCTGCTGGAGTCCGTGACAGCCCAGGTTGGAGGATGAACTCTGCTACAGGGAACCCTGGGAAGGAGGTGGGCACTGGTTCAGGATCTGAGGATGCTAGGGGGTTCTGGAAGGAATTAGGATCACCTGGAAGATTTAGGATGGCTTTTCTATGGGTCCTTGTTCCCGTGGGAATCAGGAGCCATCTCCAGTGACTATCTGCCTGATAGTGTCACAGGGTTCAGCTCCCCAATTTTCCTGTGATATCAAGCAATCTGTATTTTAACTGTAGTCAATCAATTATTGCTCACAGTAAGCCTCTACTTTCAGTACTCAAAGATACACACACACAAGTTGCAGTATTTTCAGTTTGAGCCAGTGATATTTTAGGCTCTGAATTCTCTGGGGGAAAAAATATAGAGAAATCTCTCACCAAGCTAAGGAAGTGAGCTCCCAGATCTTGTCTTTGAAAATGTTCAGCTTGATAGCTCAGTTACCTAGACCAGTAGGTTTCTCCTTCCCATCCCTTAGTTACTGTATATAAAGAAGGGCTCATTTGAATTCCCATGAGGGGAAACTAAGAGAATGGGCTTTGCAGGACTGATGGGTTTAATCTGGCTCTTTAAAATCTTCCTAACAGGCTATCCTCTGATAGTGTGGCTGTTGGGCCTTTCTTCTACTTAAAACTAGCTAGAAAAAAAAATTTTTCATTTGTTTGTGTCCCATGAACGTGTATTTTTGTTTGGATCTGTGTCATTTTGATATGTCTCATTGTCTCACAGTTTTTTCAAAAATAGTTCAAAGACTTAAAAAATATGATATTGCTCACTCTCTTGCTCTCTCTGCTGTAACAGGAAATGCATTTCTGACACTTTTAAAATGAGCAATCACATGTATAATCAACTTGGTTAAAACTTCCTTCCTGGTAACTGCAACACTTCCTCTGCATCTGGATACGAAAGGAGACCCAGAAAAGCGGAAGAGTTTACAGGCACACGGGGTAGGTTTGAATTTGTTTTGTTTTCAAAAATTAAACAAATGATTCTTCAGCATCATCGCCTCCATTGCTTTATCAGGTATTACTTCCTTCTACTCTTTGTCCTTTATTGAGTCTGACTTGAAGTAGTGACACTTCCTTCTTGACTAGAATATTTTTATTGGGAACCCTTGTTTGTTCTTGAGATGGTATTACCACTGAATGTCTCTGTCTCCTTGTCTAGTCCAACCAGTATGTGTGGATGTCAACGCGGTTCCAGAGATAGTTTTGCAGGTGCATCAGACCTTTGTTTTTGTTTTTGTTTGGGAGCAAGGGGGAGGGCAAGCGAACCTGTGTCACCAGGCTTCATATTCTTACAAGCGTATGTTTAGAGATTATTGTACTTACAGGATTTCTAACGTCTTACAAGGAGAAATCTTCATAGCCTCAACCATGAAGACAAGCAGTGAGTAGTCAGCCTGTTTTACTCAGTATCTAGTATCTTGTAAGACTTTTTGGTATCACTGAGGCAGAAGTTATTGCTGTGAAGTTTTATGGTGCCTAAATTTGGACGTATGTTGCTTTATTACAAATTAGTGTCAATACTAATATATCTTACAGTTCTCTTCTTTGTTAGTCATTTTCTAATACAGCAAAAGGCCAAACAGTGAATGTTTTAAGTTGCAAGAGACAGTTCTATAGGACAGTTGGTTTCATTTACTTAGTAAGTATACTTTCATAATATTTTGAGAGGGAATATTGACATAAAAAGTAAGTTAAAAAATTTTTAATTAACTTTTATAAAGTAAGTTTAAGCCAAGATTTAAACATAAGCTTGGTTCTAATGAAGCTTGTCTTCTTTATCTTTTAATCAAACTCTTATTTTTGGTATATATCAAATGCTCTAATTTCTTCAGGAAATTAATTGTGAGTCTTGCTAATTAACATTAAGTCATTTAACAGAGTAAACGTTAGTTTCTAAAATTTGATAAAATTTTGTTTCAACAGTTAATTCCTATTTAGAATATAATGCTTTATTAACAATGTAGTGATACTAAATATTAAAATCAAAATACTTGGTTCATATTTCAATTTTAATATTTTAGCATTTCAGAATATCTGAAGGGTTCCTTACTGTAGCATGTCACATTTATATACTTAAATGGTTTGTGCATGGCAGATACTTATTAAATGTTTGTGGAAGGAGTAGATAAGCTAATGAGAATAAATTTTTGAATTCTTGTCATAGAGATGAAAATATTAGAGTAAAAAGAAGTTAAATAATTAGGGTCTATATAGCAGGTCGCTGGAGTCAGAAATTCTACCTTCCATCTTGGGGCTCCTCCCCTCTCTAGAGCAGAGGCAGATCAAATGAATTGGCATTAAGTTAAAATACCTGATGGTTCATATTAGGAGAGCACAGTCTTGAGTAACTTCTCCAAGATACTGTCTTAATACAGCAGTGCTAGCCAGAATGTTTAGGCATTCAACGATTCAAAATTTTCTGTATCTGCAAATGGTCTTGATTGCAACTTTACCAATTCCGATATTTTTTTAGTTTTATGAAGGAAATGACAAGCTTCCCTAATTTAAAAGGGGGGAAAAAAGTGAAAAGAGAAAAAGAGGAAGTTGATTAGCGAGCAGATCCAGGATCCAGACAGTTTGAAAATAAAGAACTTGAAGCAAGGTTGGTCAGGTGTCTGGGTCCCAAGGAGAAGCGTGAGACTGAACAAAGAGGAAGTCAAAGGCCTGTTTTCAAATAGGGTTTTTCAGCATCTCACATCGTGTGGTATAAACTCGGACTCAACTGGATTATTTTGCTCATTCATGTGTTTTTGTATGCTTACGAACCACAATTACTATGTTGAACCATTATGTCAAGCACTGTGGTAGATGAATGCTTTACATATTTTTTTGGTTACTAAAAACTTCAATCATATACAAAAGTAGAGAGAATGACCAGTTATCCTCACATATCCATCAATCAAATTCAAGAAGTACTTAATTCTCACTTCCACCCTCTGACGTATTGCTAAACCCATACGACAGATGAGAAACAGGTTCAGAGATTACTTAACTTGCCCAAATCACCCAGGTACTAAGTGGCGGGGCCAGGATTCATGGGTCCCCAACTCCAGATCCCACGCTATTAAGGGCTGTACTGTATCTGGTTTGAAGTGTCTGCTTGTTTTTTGATGTGTCTGGTCCCTCGGTATCCTTGTCCATACGAAAGTCTTCAACATCTTTTATTTTTGCCATTTCGTAGCAAAGTGCCTTTTTTGTAACAAAGCCCTGGGTTTCTCCTTGCCTCCAGGTCACTTAGGGCATGGATCTGCAGAACGATGAACCACCCGTCGTTCTGAGAGCGGACAACTTCCGCAGGCGCCGGAGGATGAAGCCGCGTAGCACGGCGGCCAGCCTGTCCTCGATGGAACTCATCCCCATCGAGTTCGTGCTGCCCACGAGCCACCGCAACAGCAAGACCCCGGAAACGGCACTGCTGCACGTGGCCGGCCATGGCAACGTGGAGCAGATGAAGGCCCAAGTGTGGCTGCGCGCGCTGGAGACAAGCGTGGCAGCAGACTTCTACCACCGGTTCGGCCCGGACCACTTTCTTCTGCTCTACCAGAAAAAGGGACAGTGGTACGAGATCTACGACAGGTACCAGGTGGTGCAGACCCTGGACTGCCTGCGCTACTGGAAGGTGCTGCGCAGAAGCCCAGGCCAGATTCACGTGGTGCAGCGCCACGCACCTTCCGAGGAGACTTTGGCCTTCCAGCGGCAGCTCACGGCGCTGATTGGCTACGACGTCACTGACATCAGTAACGTGCACGACGACGAGCTCGAGTTCACGCGCCGCCGCCTGGTCACCCCGCGCATGGCCGAGGTGGCCGGCCGCGACCCCAAGCTCTACGCCATGCACCCCTGGGTGACATCCAAGCCCCTTCCAGAGTACCTGTCGAAGAAGATTGCCAACAACTGCATCTTCCTTGTCATTCACCGCAGCACCACCAGCCAGACCATCAAGGTCTCAGCCGATGACACCCCAGACACCATCCTCCAGAGCTTCTTCACCAAGATGGCCAAGAAGAAGTCTCTGATGGATATCCCTGAAAGCCAAAGCGAGCAGGATTTTGTGCTGCGCGTCTGTGGCCGGGATGAATATCTGGTGGGTGAAACGCCCATCAAAAACTTCCAGTGGGTGAGGCATTGCCTCAAGAATGGAGAAGAGATTCATCTGGTGCTTGACACTCCTCCGGACCCAGCTCTGGACGAGGTGAGGAAGGAAGAGTGGCCCCTTGTGGATGACTGCACCGGAGTAACTGGCTACCATGAGCAGCTGACCATCCATGGGAAGGACCATGAGAGTGTGTTCACCGTGTCCCTGTGGGACTGTGACCGGAAGTTCCGAGTGAAGATCCGAGGCATTGACATCCCTGTCCTGCCCCGGAACACTGACCTCACAGTTTTTGTGGAGGCAAACATTCAGCATGGGCAGCAAGTCCTTTGCCAAAGGAGAACCAGCCCCAAACCCTTCACAGAGGAGGTGCTCTGGAATGTGTGGCTTGAGTTCGGTATCAAAATCAAAGACTTGCCTAAAGGGGCTTTACTGAACCTCCAGATCTACTGCGGCAAAGCTCCGGCCCTGTCTGGCAAGGCTTCCGCAGAGACTCCCAGTTCTGAATCCAAAGGCAAACTTCAGCTTCTCTACTATGTGAACCTGCTGCTGATAGACCACCGATTTCTCCTGCGCCATGGGGAATATGTGCTCCACATGTGGCAGATATCCGGGAAGGGAGAAGACCAAGGGAGCTTCAATGCTGACAAGCTCACGTCTGCAACCAACCCAGACAAGGAGAACTCAATGTCCATCTCCATCCTTCTGGACAATTACTGCCATCCGATAGCTTTGCCTAAGCATAGGCCCACTCCTGACCCTGAAGGGGACCGGGTTCGTGCTGAAATGCCCAACCAGCTTCGTAAGCAACTAGAAGCAATCATAGCCACAGATCCACTTAACCCTCTCACAGCAGAAGACAAAGAATTGCTCTGGCATTTTAGATATGAAAGCCTTAAGTATCCAAAAGCGTATCCTAAGCTGTTTAGCTCAGTGAAATGGGGGCAACAAGAAACTGTGGCCAAAACATACCAGTTGTTAGCCAGAAGGGAGGTCTGGGATCAAAGTGCTTTGGATGTTGGGTTAACAATGCAACTCCTGGACTGCAACTTTTCAGATGAAAATGTAAGAGCCATTGCAGTTCAGAAACTGGAGAGCTTGGAGGATGATGATGTTCTGCATTACCTTTTGCAACTGGTCCAGGTAGGGGATGTTGCCGTTAACGGAGCCCTCTTCTCAGGGAATGTTTTTTGCATGTGCACAGGCACGCCATTCATGTGTTATCAGATGCCCTTTGTCCAGAGACTCATGATCAGTCAAAGTAGATCTGATAAAGCCACTTTAAGTACTGAACTGTTCCATTTACCTTTTTTTTTTTTTTAACTGTCGTTGAGGGTTTGCTGAAGAGCCTTTTGAAGACATTAGTTCACTTTTTAGGAGAATTGGCCCTGTGGGAACACTTTGTTCTCATTTATTATATTAATAATGTTGTTAGATGCTGTCAAGTTGATTTGACTCCGCAACACCATGTGACAGACTAGAACTGCCCCATAGGGTTTTCTAGGCTGTGATCTTTACGGGAGCAGATCTCCAAGTCTTTTCTCCCGCAGAGCCGCTAGGTGGGTTCAAACCACCAACCTTTTGGTTAGCAGCTGAGTGCTTAACCATTGTGCCACCCAAACAAAAAAACCAAACCCACTGCTGTCAAGTCAACTCTGACTCATAGTGACCGTATAGGACAGAGTAGAACTGCCCCTTAGGGTTTTCAAGGCTGTAAATCTTTACAGAAGCACACTGCCACATCTTTCTCCTGCAGAGTGGCTGGTGGATCCAAACCACCGACCTTTCGGTTAGCAGCTGAGCGCTTTAACCACTGCATCACCAGGGTTCCTTATTGTGCCACCAGGGCTCCTTATATTAATAGTAGCTACGACTTACCAAGAGCTTCATTGTGCCAAGGTTCCAAATGATTTACTTGCTTTTTGTGTAGTATTTAGCTCTCCTAACAACTATGATGGCAGTCAAATTAACATTTGCATTTTATTATAAGGAAACTGAGGCACAAAGAGGCCAAAGTCACATACTTTGAAAGAAGCAGACCAGAATTTAAACCCAGGAAGTTTGACTCCAGGGCCTGCTCTTTTCACTGGTTCCTAATATCCCGTATCGATCCAGCATCAGGATAGTATGGGCTAGAGAGAAAAGGTTTTACTCTCTGTATTTATCATAGTTCAGACTCACATCTCGTATTTGGATGGAAGCTTCAAAGCCCCTGTCTTTAGACTAGTACGGTACTGTATTTCTACTCCTGTTTTCATACTGTTCCCTGGGGTCTAGAACGACTAAGTGATTTGCCTAAGGTTTAACCAGGAAGTTAAAGGGGAACAATTCTCTTGCTCACTATAGCAGTTCTCAAATTGTGCTGCTTAGCATGGAAGAGGAAGTAAAGGAATTGGAATAGAAATGCTATTTTTGAGCACAGACATGTTCATTCATTAATTCAACAATATGTATTGAGTGCTTCCCCGGTTCCGGTTGCTGGATATAGAGTGGTGATCAAAACAGAGTCAGTCACTGACCTCGTGTAGCTTGTGGTGCTGTGGAGAAGACTGATATTAAATGAGTACACACACAAACAGGTATTTAATAACAAACTGTGACAGACACTTTGGGGGGAAACCACAGTTATTATGAGAAAATAATCAAGGGTCCAGGGGACACCTAATTTAGATTCAGGGAACCAGGGACAGTTCCGAGTAGATGATACTTAACCTGAGATCTTACAGATTAGCCAGGCTAAGAGTGTTAGACACTAAACTGTCTAATCATTATCAATATTTATAGGCAGTCTCTCGAGATTTCTGACAAGCATTTTGGATATTCTTAATTTTAACTCTGAATTTTCATATTCCCATTAACCAGATACTTGAAACATTCCATTTTGTCTATTAAATACATCCATTATTTTTCTCAACCTACTAGTTCAGATACTGGCATAACACTAATGAATTTTAGAATAATCAGAGTATCTTCAATTTCCTAGCTCCCCATAACAAAAAGGACATAAAACAAATTTTCTAAGATCTATGCTAAGCTCAAGGCTACGTGAATTATATTTCGTTGTCATTTTCACAAGTAAACATTGCAAAATTGGAAAATGAATAGTGCTCTCCTTGATACGGTTTAAAGAAGGAGGTCAAGAAATAATATTAACATTTGAATTTGTGGTCATAAATTTGAAGAAGAGTAGTCATTCGTCAAACTATTTGAGACACTTTCAGAGATGGCTAAATGACTCATTCCTGATTAAAATGGTCTTCTTGTTGAGACTGACTTTACAGAAGTGAAACACCAAGAACTTCAGAAAAACTTGCGTTAGGGTTAGAAACTTAAAACACTTCTGAAGTGAGTCATACTGGTGGCTAAATGGCCACATCCTCAGAACTAAGGCCTTAGAATCAGCTACAATGGCACTTACTTGACCACACCCATGAAAAGCATCTTTGAAAGCATCAATAAAAACGTTGTTGTGTGCCGTTGAGTCGATTCCAACTCACAGCACCCCTATATGACAGAGTAGAACTGTCCCATAAGGGTTTCCGAAGCTGTAATCTTCAAGGGAATAGATTGCCAGGTGTTTTCTCCTGCGGAGCCACTGATAGATTCGAACTGCAGACCTTTTGGTTATCAGCTGAGTACTTAAACAATGCACCACCAGAGTCCCTTATCAAGTCAGTATTGATCATTTGCAACTGGAAAACCAGAGAAAGCACTGGAAATCATGCCAAGAAGCCTACAGACCCACAATTTCAAAATGTTGTCAGTGTAACTGAATTATACATGTAGACATGGTTGAATTGGCATATGTTTTGTTGTGTATATTTAACCACAATTAAAAAAAAAAAAAAACTGATAAAGAAGCCTGCAGACCCTAAAATTTAAGGTGGAATGGGAATTTCTCCTGTTCCATGGAGAAAAGGGATAGACCATTTTCTATTTATAAAGAAACTTCTCCGAGATATTTAACTGTTAAGTCTATTTGTGACATCTATCCTATAACTTTGTAATTGCATTATAATAATCTAAATATTTGTTAGTCTTGCTGCTTTTAAAATTATAAAGTATTTCAAACTTGTAGAAAAGTACAGAGAATAATATAACAAACACCTATGCACAACTTAATTATTTTTTACATTTTATTGGCTATTTTTCTTTTTCTTTTTTCATTGTACTTCAGGTGAAGGTTTACAGAACAAATAGTTTCTCATTAAACAGAAGTACACATATTGTTTTAGGACACTGGTTAACAACCCCATGACATGTCAACCCTCTCCCTTCTTGACTTTTTTTTTTTGGTGAAAATACACATAGCCAAAGATA